TCCTCTCTGCCGCTGCCCCTAATCCCCACACTGGGAGAGACTGAAGCATATTCAGCAGAAACAGTTTCCTTTGGCCCTCAACTACCAAGAACGCTGCTTAAGTAAGGAAAAGATTGGAAGAAGTGGGACGTTTTACAACACAGTTGCAGTCTGAGGTCATGGACCCTCCTTGGTTACTTGAAGAAACGTGCCATCTACCGGTGACATTCGGAACTGCAGCAGGCTGCTTGGCTGATGCCCTGTGGAGTTGGCTTCTTAGCAGCCCCAGCAGCCCAAGGCAAAGAACCTCAAGGCAGGACCACCGTGGGGAGCAAATGTAGGGTGTGTGGTGGCTGAGTGCTTCTTTAAGCCTTCTGTGTCAAAATCAGGAAGGTTGGCTCAGTGGCAAAATCCTTGCCTTGCATGTGCTAGCATGCTATATGGGTGCTGGTTCAAGTCCTGGCTCCTCTGCTTCCAATCCAGCTTCCTGCTTGTGGCTTGGGATAGCAGAGGAAAATGAGTCAGATCCTGGGGCCACTGCAAGTGGGAGACCTGGAGGAAGTTTCTGGCTCCTGGCTTCAAATCAACTCCGTTGGTTGTTGCAGCCATTTGGGGTGTGATGAAAGCACTCTCTCGTTTAAGTAGAAGTTTTGGTGGCCTGACAGGATGGCTCAGTGGCTAAATCCTTGCCTTTCAAGCACTGGGATCTCATATGGGTGCTGGTTTGTGGCCTGGCTTTTCAACTTCCTTTTCAGCTGCTTCCTGGTGGCCTGGGAAAGCAGTCAAGGATGGCCCAAAGCCTTGGGACTCTGCACCCGCATGGGAGATCTGGAAGAAGCTCCTGGCTTCAGACCAGCTTGGCTCGGTCAGTGCAGCCATTTGAGGGGGAACTAGTGGATGGAAGATCTTTGTCTCTGTCTATCCTTCTCTCTGTAAACTGATCTGCCTTTCCAAATAAAATAAATAAATCTTCAAATCAAAAAAGAGTCTTGAGCACCTGTCTCATGACCAGAAGAGGGGTTACTTGTTACTGGAACCATCTTATTTTTGGAAATGTGCCCTTGAGTGGGAAACTAGAACTGTGAGGAGGGACAGGATGTAGCATAAAAATGTCTCTGTGAGTGGGGATTTTCTTTGCTCATAAAAGGAGTGCTGCTCAGGGATTCTCCCACACTGAGTGCCCAGTTGGCTGTGTTGAGTCTCACCAGTGTGTCTCTGTTTAACAAGCCACTCAGTGGCTTTTGCCGCTTGTTGAAGACAGCCCCACATTGCCAGAGTCTTTTCCAGGTTCTGAGGTGGGAGGAAGAGCAGATTGTTCTAACCACCAGCTCTCACTGAGCGTGCCACGTCGAGGTGCTCCCTGCCTGTCAGTGTCCAGGTCACAGTGATGTCCTCCCAGGACTGGCTCTCACTGAGCGTGCCACCTCGAGGTGCTCCCTGTTCCTCACTGTCCTGGTCACAGTGATAACATTGACTGCTGTAGACACAGTGCCCTTTTCTGGTTGTTGCATCCCCGGGCAGCACTCTGGACTGCAACTTTCATCCCAATAACATCTCAGTTTCTTCCATGCTCCACGTCTTCACGCCATGGAGGAGGTTCCCTTTGTGGCGATTCTTCCAGATCGTTGTAAGGGGCTCGGGGGCAGAAGGGGAGGGAGAACAGACCCTCTCCCTGCCCTGATTGTAGCTAAGAGAGAGAGTCCTGCAAGACTCCTCCTCATCAGAGTTCATTCAGTTTTCTCTCCTTTTCAAGTCCCCCACTCTCCCCAGAGGAGACAGCAAGGATTCCTTACATGAGGACAGCGACCTGAAATGCTCCACATGAGGGCTGATCATAGTGGGAGAGCGAAAGACATTGCAAACCTTGTAGTTACATAATGTGGCATATGCTTATAGTATTACATTAAAATGGAAATCTAAAGTTAAATCTTACTCAAGAGAACTCTCAGATTTATGAAAATCTATCATCTGCCACCCTGCATTTCAATCAAAATAGACTTGTAAGGCATGTGCCAGCAGGCTGATGCAGTGGTGTGTCAGACTAATCCTCTGCCTGTGGCGCCAGCATCCCATATGAGCCACGGCTTGTGCCCTGACCACTCTACTTCAATCCATCTTCCTGCTTATGGCTTGAGAAAGCAGCAGAGGTTGGCCCAAATCCTTGGTTCTCAGCACCTATGTGGGAGACCGAGAAGAAGCTCCTGGCTCTGGCTTTAGATCAGCTCTGCTCCAGCTGTTGAAGCGATTAGGGGAGTGAACCAGCACAGGGAAGCTCTCTCTCACTCTCTCTTTCTCTCTCTCTCTCATGTCTTATCTCACTGTTTTTCCTTCTTGGTCTGTAACTCTTCCTTCCCAATAAAAATGAATATTTTTTAAAGACATGTAACAAAATACTTGGTTTAAATAATATGCAAAAAAGAAGGCCCGGCACGGTGGCCTAGTAGCTAAAGTCCTCGCCTTGAATACGCTGGGATCCCATATGGGCGCCGGTTCTAATCCCGGCAGATCCACTTCCCATCCAGCTCCCTGCTTGTGGCCTGGGAAAGCAGTAGAGGATGCCCCAAAGCCTTGGAACCCTGCACCCGTGTGGGAGACCTGCAGGAGGTTCCTGGCTCCTGGCTTCGGATCGGCACAGCACCAGCCGTTGAGGTCACTTGGGGAGTGAATCATTGAATGGAAGATCTTCCTGTCTCTTCTCTCTGCATATCTGACTTTGTAATAAAAATAAATAAATCTTTAAAAAAGTGCTTGTCATTATACTTTTTGTACCTCAATTTATACTGAAAAGCTATTGGATATCTGACACTGGTTAAATCCTTTATTACTCAGCAAAGGAAAGTTAATAAAGCAAAGGAAAAGGGCACTAAAGCAGTTCATAAACTACTATGGGTGTGTGGGTGTGGGCAGTGAGGTCAGACCCTGGAGGAGGTAACACCTGGACTTGTACTTCTACTTAATATTCACTGTTGCTTCCAGCTGTACAGGACGATAGGTGTCACACTGCTGAGGGAACTCGGCACTAGGCGGGAATCTGATGTGTGGAAAGGAAGGGAAGGGTGCGTGAAGACACACATCTGTGTTAGGTGCCAGGTGTGTGAGAGAATCTTAGGGTAGATGAAGACACACATCTGTGTCAGGTGCCAGGTGAGTGAGAGGCTGTAGGGTGAATGAAGACACACACCTGTGTGAAGTGAGGTGCGTGAGAGGCTCAGAGTGCCATGGCACAGATGGGTGCCAGTCAGAGGTCAGTGGGAGCCCCTGCTGCTGTGGGGAGTGAGAGGAAGTCACAATTCCAGATATCCCTCTGCTGGTCTGAAGAACTCAGGGCTGAACTCGAAGTCACTATCAGTCCTCATACGAGTTTCACTTCTGACCCACTGTGCTACCAGGAGGCCCTGCAATGATCTGATTGGAATTTGCCCCAGGATTTGGCTCACAGTCAGCATGGGAGGGACGGCATGGGTCCTCCCTTCATCCAAAGCCCGGGAAGCTTGTCACCGCCCTCACCCTCAGCCCCAGTCCGCCTTGAACACCTGTGGTGAGGAGCGATTAGAAGAGTCCGCAAGCAGCTCCAGGTTCCATGCCAGAAGGAAGTGGCACGTGAGTGGTCTGCAAACCCCTGGGTTTTCAGTTGAGGTGGGGCCTGGGGCAGAGAACCAAGAAGCAGAGTTGGGGCTTCCAGGCAGGAACAAGGCAATGTCCTGGCAGAACACGTGCCATCTGCTAGAACCCCTCACTGCACCTTCCATAGTCATGCTCATTGTATCTGCCCAGCATTCCTGTGAAGCAGGCTGTGTGAGGAAGGGACACCAGATGAGAAGTCAGGTCAGCGTGATCCTGTTGTTCCTTGGTCATGAATGACTCTGGGCTCCTGTCTTGCAGCCTGGACGTGCTTGTCTGTCATGTGGTGCATGCCCAGTGAAGTTAGCAATGACTGACACTTCCACAGAGGAGAACTTCAGAAGCAAAGAGGGAGGAGCAAGATCATGAGAGCAGAAACCAAACCACCTCGTCTCTTGCACGTGTATTTTGCTTTCTCTTGATAGAAGTGCGTTGTTCTAAAGTCATTTTAAAAGTTTGTATAGGTGTGTAAGCTTCAAACTTCATAAAACTCAGTGGATTCATTCTGACTAATCAGGTATTGTGGGTATTTGGCATTTTGGGGACTGAATGCTCTAGGTTTTTTTTCTGAAGTTCTAACAGCTCAGTATAAGTGGTAATTTGTAATTTTCTTTGAAGTGGATTTTAACAACAGAGGCACAGGCCTTGGGACTCAGCATTGGCATTCACCTTGTACCTCAGCAACAACTCCTCACTTATTTGCCACCTGTACACTACACTTCACCCAGAAAATTAAGAGAAATGGGGAACTGTGGAGATCTGATGGTGAATGCTTGTCTCAGCTCACAGAGCATGGCAATATTAAAGTTTACCCTATTCAGCATTAATAGCATTGGTACAAGTTTCTGCATCTACATGGAAATGGGAAACAGGAGTTTGTAACTAGAAAGCTTGAATTTAATGTTTGACATCTAAGTCCAGTTACATACAGATAGAAACAGAACCAGTGATTTTCAGCTGGTGGCTGACAGTCTGTGGTCAGCTTGTCCTTGGTCTTCAGTGTGCAAGGTTCAACTGAATGTGGGGGCTGTCCTGGCTTTATAGGATCATTGATAGCATCCTGGCTTTTACCTAATAAAGGTCTCTACCTGCGCCCAAGGTATGATTATCCAATATTACCCCAGACAATGCCATGTCCCCCAGGGCTGTGGATGCCCCCCTTCCCACTGAGGACCCTGGACTCAGGCAGCTGTTCTCACCTTTCCACCTTTTACAAATCTTCTCTGATTACCAGAGAAAAGCAGACGAAAGAGAGATAGAGATCGAGAGAGATAGGGAGAGAGAGAGCACGTGCACTTCCATTTGCTGGTTCACTCTGCAGATATCCTCTATAGCTTGGACTGGGACAGGTTACAGCTAGGGTTGCTGGGTCTCATTATCTTGTGTTGGTTGCAGGCAAGATGGTTGATATCTTAGGATATAGCGTGCCTGGTACCATTGCCTCCTTCTTCTTCATCCTGCTGACGTTCAGACGGTCAGGTATGATTCCCCTCTTCCCTTTTTTGTATACTGCAATGCCCTGGTGATCCAGTCCCAGGCAGAGTTCTAAACTCTAAAACCAGAGTGTATTCCAGTGGCCAAAGCATCTGGGGTCTAAAAATGGACTCCTTCTCTTCCAGCTGTGTTACCCTGGGGAAGTCAGGTGAGCATCATATGCCTTATGATAGGAAGAATGGCTGTGCATCTTAAAGTCTAGCACAGGACAGTAATCATCCTCTAGGTGAAACTCTAATCAATGTAGTTCTTACCTAATTTTTAAAAAATAACTCAAATGTTAATCACTAGGTTTCAACTAAAAATAAACTTGCATGTTCATTTGCTTGAGAATAAAAATAACCCAGATAAAATGACATTAGACCCCAAATATCTCATGTTTACTGAGAGTAATAGGTGTGTCCCAAAGCACGTAGGTGGTTGACAGACTTGGCACTTGTGTTCTCATTTTTGAACTTAGTCTACTCTCACTACACAAAACTATCCTTGTAACAAACAAGTACACAAATACCCATGATAGAATTCTCTGAACCACTGAGCTTAAAACCCTGTTTTCATGGAGGAACACCCTGGAGCAAGTACACCGGTTCTCTGGTTGACATTCCTTGATTCTTCTTTTGTACTGTTTTGTAGATGACTTCCGAGTGATGGGCCCTTCCCATGCTCTCCTGGCCTTGGTGGGGGAAGATGCCCTATTAACCTGTCAGCGCCTTCCCAACGGGACTGCAGCACACATGGAGGTGCGGTGGTATCGCTCAGAACCCAGCACACCCATCATTGCATATGGGTACGGAGCTGAGATGACCGAGGTGCAGATGGAAGAGTACAGAGGCCGAGTGGAGTGGATAGATGATGGCATTGCAGAGGGGAGAGTGGCTCTGAAGATACACAACATCCAGCCTTCTGACAATGGGCAATACTGGTGCCATCTCCAAGAGGGCAACCATGCTGGTGAAGCAAGCATGCTGCTCAAAGTAGCAGGTGAGTATCTGCAACAGGCATATGATTTTGGAAAGTCATTAACCTGTAGGAAGATTATTGCCAATTGAAGAAGTCCCCTGGAGTCATCAAACCATTCCTAATGCTCCATATCTTGTATCACTTGAAAAAAGTGGACTTGACATCTTCAAAGCCAGTTCACTAACTATTCTTCCAAATGGGAAATGTAGTATAGTTTTGACAATTCTTGGGCGGGGGCATTATTTGAAATATGAGACATGTAGTTATTTGCAACTTTTCAGAGACTTATTTATTTGGAAAGAGACTGATGGGTGGGGAATCTTGTATCTGTTGTTTCACTCTCCCAGTGGATGAAACAGCTCTGGATGGCTCAGGCTGAAAGCAGAAGTTCTATCTTGATCTCCCACCTGGATGGGCAGGAACCCAAGTACTTGAACCATCATCTACTGCTTCCCAGTATATAACCTGATAATGGATGAGAGATAGAGTAGCTGTGACTCTAACCAGCACTGCCTCATGGGTTTGGGGCATCCCAGGCAGTATCATTACGTGCTGTGACACAAACACCTGCCCCATCCATTAGCATTTTTTTTCTGAGAGAAGGATCTGCACCATCTAAAGCTGGTGTGCAAGAGCTTGTTGACTGCTTTCTGCTTCCATGACCCCTGAGCTCCCACCCCTTCCCTTCCACCATTTGGTGCTTATAGCTGTGACTTTTCTCCATAGGCCTGGGGTCTGTCCCCCAAATCCACACGAAGGGGTCTGTAGAAGGTGGAATCCAGCTTGTGTGCACTGCAAAGGGCTGGTTCCCAGAGCCCCGTGTACGCTGGGAGGACAGCCAGGGAGAGTGGTTGCTATCTCTCTCTGAGCACTACTTCCAAGATGCCAATGGCCTGTTCTATGTGGAAGCCACCCTGTTGGTGCTGGATGCCTCTCCAGAGTCTGTGTCCTGCATCATCCACAACCCTGTGGTCAGTGAGGAGAGGATGGCCACCATCGCCCTTCCAGGTCAGTGCTCTTCCTTGAGGGTTCACAGGGGGTTCCTATTGTATAGAGGAAAAACACCTCACATCAGTAATATGTGTTCAGATCAGTAAAATATCTACACCTGAAATAGATAACTACGTTTTGGCTGCATTACATTAAACTTTTTCTCCACTGATTAAAATTGTCTTACTAATGTAGAAAAAAACAGATATTATACATTTCATGAGTGCAGTTCCAAGAAGGCAACGAAAATAATCAAATGGAGAAAACAAGGTTTTATATTTCTTAATAATAGGAAAAAACACAAAGGGAATACAATAAAATAATATTATGTTCAACTTAGCATATCACTATAATAATGAAAAGTGTTTCTAAATAGTTTTAGTGGCCATTTAATTATCAAGATTGCATCTATCCATAAATACTCATTTCAAATTACACAGATTGTTTACTTTGGATAACATAACTGGACTAAGATTTTTGAAGCAGTCTATATATATGTATTTTACTATTATGATTACTACTTTTATTATGATTCATAGAAAGAAGTAAATAAAGTGAAAATTCTATGTTAATGTTAAGAAGCCAAAATATATATATAGATATATATGCACACACATATACATACACATGCATACATACAACATATCTACATATTTGAGTTTGTAATCTCTGATTGGAGTTACAGGTGTTAAATATATGTCCATATATTTTTATATAACCTGAACATTTCCAAAAACTATACATATTTGACACATGACAGTTAAAACTCTGCAGAAATAATCAGCATTATTGGGTGACAGTGCTGCAAGAATTTTTGCTATTTAGAGAAAATCAGTTGGCATACCAGATGATTCACTGGAAAGAATTAGTATCTTCTATCATATTTGTTACATATTGAACCTCTCCCTTAAATGTAGAACTTGCTTTAGTTTATGTTTTTGGATAGCTTCTCTCCTTTCATTTGGACCAATTTCCTCAATGTGTACTTCTCATTCTTTTTCCAGAGAAACTGCAGACTGAGATGGGTAAGTGGGACTTCCTGATGTTCCTTCCAGGGAGGCTCTGGGGACACAGCATGTTAGACAGGGGGACACCCTGAGATCCAAATGGGAAGCCAAGGTGTGGGTCACCATCTGATGTTTAGTTTATCAGTGGGGCTGGCAGAGTGAAGGTCTCCTTCAGGGCTTACTTCATTGTGTAGTCTGCATGCAGACTCCAATGAGCCTCAGATGGACACCTGTGGGAGCAAGCCCCCTTTCCACTGTGCATGGAAGAAGAGCTGTTTTGGGTTGTTGGGGGATGGCACCTGACAGGTGGTCAGCCTTGGAGGTCATTTTAAAGCATTCCCAGTGTGTGTAGGGGCAGGGCTATCAGTACAACTGCAGGTCACTGCCCCCTTGAGCTCATCTGGCTGCCATGATCCTGTGCCTGTTCCTCGCCCAGCAGACCCTGGACCTCATCTTTAGTGAGAGCAGGCTGTTAACTTTTTAGGTGCAGCCTGGGATCCTATGACTGGAACAAAGACTTGTTGCATCTTTTGAAGCTTTGTAAACGGTGTATAGGTATTGTTTTATTGTACTCAAGATACGTGGTTTAAACATTAACTACCTGTTGCAACCTCTTTCAGTTTCCACTTTATAACCCTATACTTCCCCTCCTGTTCAAGGCCTCTTGTCCAAGCCTGGGACAGCAAGTTGCTTTTGAAACTGTCCTATATGTCCTCTTCCCGTAAATGCCTGAACTCCATCCAGTCACCTGCCACAGGAATGTGTGTGCATGCAGTTCCTGTTGGGTTGCTCACAAGCTGTACTCACTTCTGGGCCTATAATCCCAGCGAGGTGGAAAGATGGAGCTTCATTTTGTCTACTGTCAGTTTGGAGAAGCAGGGCTGAGGCCCAGGAACATGGAGAGTGGGAATGCTCTTGTGCTTGAGGGACTCCCATGCTCATGGCTACCTCTGTGTTACATCCATGGTTTGAGGCTCAGGGAAAGGATCTGTGCAGGAGGCTGCTGGTCACACCAGCTGTTCCAGAAGTTCCAGCACTACGTTCTAGGTCCTTTTGTGGTGGAATGTTATTAGTTTGTGAAACTAGTGACTTGTGGTTTGAAATGCCATGTTCCAAGAAAAGATTCTAAATGCTTTATAGGAAATCTTTTCTTTGCTCCCCCATTCATTTCTTTTCCTTCCCTTTCCTTCGCTTCCTCCCTCCCTTCCTCCATCCCTCCCTCCCTCTCTCCCTCTCTTCTTTCTTTCTTTCTTTCTTTCTTTCTTTCTTTCTTTCTTTCTTTCTTTCTTTCTTTCTTTCTTTCTTTCTTTCTTTCCTTCTTTCTTTCTTTCTTTCTTTCTTTCTTTCTTTCTTTCTTTCTTTCTTTCTTTCTTTCTTTCTTTCTCTCTCTCTCTTTCTTTCTTTCTTTCTTTCCTTCCTTCCTCCCTTCCTTCCTTCTTTCTCTTTCTTTATTTCTTCCCCTTTGTTTCAGCTCCATAGTTGTACCACTTAACAGATTTACTCTCATTTAGCAGTGACTACTCTGTTTTACAGGCATATGTGATTTGCTGAAAGCTCTAAGCAATTGTGACTACTCCATCATTTTTGTCAATCTAACTTACGAGGGCAACTCAGTAATAGCCACAATTTCAACATCTCATTAGTCTGTATTTTTCTCACCTTTACAATGAACAGGTTGGCCTGAACTCTGCTGTAGTGCCCAGCACTGGTACCATAGCTGTAAGTTGACTTAACATGGCAAACTGGAGAGAGGAGCACACATTTCTGAAGGTAGAGATGCTGTGATGACAAGATGCTCAAATTCTAGGGGATTTGCTCACAATTCAGTGCACTTCATGCTCCAGGCAGGATTTAATCTTTCCGGTGACTGTTCAGAAGGCCTTTGAAGAACGTGAATCCAATACTAAACACCAAGCAGTGTATGTGAGCACTAATGGTGCGAATGCTATGCAGTGAACTGTGTAGAAAATGGAACCTCTGCACAGCTCTAAAGGAAATCCTATCTCTGTCACATATCAGAAATCAAGACTTAAAGATTTGTTTACTACTTGTAACTTTGGATTCAGGAGAAATGGGAGTTTTGTGTATCTACAATGCTTCTAATTGACTGAACTGCATGTTTGCATTCATTTTCTCTACTTCCCATTAAAGTCAATGTTAGCTCTTAATTACCCATGTCTATTTCTGGATAAACTGGTTTGAGATTAGATTTGTGCCACAGGTCATGGGTAAGGTGAAAAATCCCCACAGGGATGGCAGAAGTGTTGAAATGTTCTTTTCTATTAAGTAATTTAAAACTTGGGGATAGGAAAACAGTAAGAAACTATTCCTCAATTTACATTTTCTAATTCCTACCCTCGTCTTCAGATTTAAACAAATATGAAATGGAGCTAATATTTTTTTCAAAGGGAAATTTGGAAGCTAAAATACACAAAGTATCAGAAATAACTAGAGTTACATTATAGATAAACTAGAAGGGAATAATGGGAATATCAAATTGTGTTTGTAGTGAAGTTTCTTTTCTAGAAAGATACCTTAGAGATTTTGGCTATGATGCAATGAGGACATTATGTTCTTGGCCATGGACTTCTGTGCAAAGAATCTACAACTTTCTGTTGCAAGTATCTCCACACATAGTAAATCATCCTTACATTCACTGGAAAATGATGATTGTTAAATTGGAGTACAGCTAACTTGGTATAGCCGCAGGAAGAACTGGGAGTGTTACAGAACTGGCGTCCAGGGAAGCCCTCAGCGACAATCCCCACATCAGGGGAGTTTGTTCGTTTATTACTGCTTTGTACTCCATGTCCTCTGAACTGCTCCAATTATTTCTTTTTAGCTCTTTCTCAAATTAAGTGTGGATTTTGAATTTGATGTGCCTGTGAACACACTCACACACACATTTATGTATGAGTTTTGGGAAATAGAATTTGATTGCTGGATTTGACTTATGAGTCATCAGAAATGCTAACTTGAGGTAGATTTTACAATTCTCAGGACTGAAAATGCATAGAAGAACCGTTTCCAACAGCCTTCAATAGCCCGCTTAAAACATTCAAGTTGTATAGACCTATGCGCCCTTCTCATCCTCTGCAAAGATATTTAATACCATTTTTCTATCCCTCAGTCTTAACTTATTTAATAAGAAGATTATTTCTGTACTTCTACCAGCCTTATGTGGATTTTTCCCCCTTGTCCGTAATCTGTAGCATGTGTCAAATCTCAGATTTCACCTGGATCTTTCTCTTTAATCCCACAGCAATCTTAGGATTTTCATAATAATAGGACAAATTTATAGTTTAAGGATAAATTGAGAGACAGACAGATTAAAAAATAGTGACGTTTGATTATAGCATTATTTTGTTATTGATCTGCAAACCAAACAGATACAGGCAGGCTGAGTAATTTTTTGTGTGATTTTTCCCTGGGCAAGAATGACCTCTAACCTGAGCCCATCAGATCCCATCTTTTCACAAGGCAGCTCTGAGCTCCACTCTAGATTACAGATGTTCTTGAGATAGCATCATTTGCTCCATTTTAATAGTTTTAAAAATGTTGTCTCCATATTCACCAGCTTCTTTAATGGTGATTGGACCTTCCCAGCCTATCCATGTGAGGATCGGAGAAGATGTGGAGGTATCCTGCTACCTGTCCCCAAAGGTGAATGCACAGAAGATGGAGGTGAGGTGGGTCCGATCCTGGCGCTACCCTGCCGTCCATGTTTATATGGATGGGAGCGATGTGGCTGGAGAGCAGATGGCAGAATACACAGGGAGGACTTCTTTGATGAGTGATGCCATCCAAGAGGGCAGACTGACCCTGAAGATACACAACACCAGCATTTCAGATGATGGGCAGTACCGATGTCTTTTTGAAAAAGATGATGTCTACCAGGAGGCCAGTATGGATCTGAAAGTGGTAGGTAAGGATTTCAGAGATGTGTTCTGGGTTCAGCATCTGTTCCTGATGTATTAACATGCTGATCTGGCAATGGGAGCTATGGTACATGACATTTTCTAATGTACATTGATCACTAAATGTATATTGATCCCTTTAGTGCTTCTGAATTCTCAGAGAGACCTGAAGATCTGGAAACTCAAGTGGACCAAAAGTTAATTCTATGGGCATATTACCTGGCCACTTCTTAATCTGTCTCTATAGTGACCATATGTTTTGGGTCATCTAATGATGTTATTCCTTGATTTTACACAAGACTCATGAATTCTCAGTATGGTGTTAATCCCAGTGATTTTTGAGAATATTCTTATTATAATTTATCATGTCTGTGTGGCCGATGCCCTGGCCCATGTCACCCATGCACTGGTTATTTTGTGCTCAGGGACAAAAGAAGATGATTTTGCATGAAATTATGTCTTAATTATTAATGTTTCCCAGTACCATTCAGGAATTAAAAAAAAAAAAAAAAAAAAAAAGAAACTCCCAACACTGGGAGAAATGTTCAGGCTGATTTATTCTTGAGTGGAGTAGAATGCCCCTTAAGCTTTGTAGTCTCTTTGCACCCTGCAACTCCCCTTTTTCCTCTAGTGAAGTCATAGGCCTGACCATTGAACTGGCCAGAGATGCTAGGCTTTGGTTCTCGGATCTCATTCCCCAGGTGTGGGCTCCTCCCCACTGGTCACCATGAAGGAGGGAGAAATGCAGCTGAAGTGCACTTCGGATGGGTGGTTCCCACAGCCCCAGGTGCAGTGGATGGACCGAGATGGAATTGTGATGCCCTCATTCTCTGAGGCTCTGACACAAGGCAGCCATGGGCTCTTCCACGTGGAGACAGTTTTACTGGTGGAAAACAACATGATTGTGAATGTGACTTGTTGTATTAGCAACCCCCTTCTGGGTGAGGAAAAGAGGACTACTTTTTCTTCCCCAGGTTGGTGATTCCATTTGTTTCCTATTATGTCTGAGAAATAAGTATTAAGAACAATTCATTCACGATTACATTTTTAAAAAACCTATCCTTTCTAACGAAACAGCTGCTCTACCTCTGTTAAAGTTGGTCTTCAGCACATCTAGGGATCCAATCCTCTGGTTTTTCTCCTCACAGACCTTCCTAAATCCCTGAAGTTTCATTTATTGCTGGGTATAACTAAGTTCCATTGTATTCTATCTGCAAAACTCTCTGAATTTGAAAATAATAAATATAAACTCTTTGCTTTTGCTTTTCCCTCCTTGTGATTTTTCTTCTGGATTTAAAAGTAATTAATGTTCAGAGTGGCACACTTGGCATAGTAGTTAAGATGTTGGTTTGGATGCCCACATCACCATTAGAGTGCCTGGGTTCAAATCCCACCTCTACTGTCACTTCTAGCTTCCTGATATAAGGCATCCTGGAGGCAGCAAGGACAGCTCAGTGAGTTGTGTCTCTGACACTCACATGGGAGGGAATTCAGTTCTTGCTCCCAGTTTTGACCTGGAGAATGAACCAGGGATGGGAGAGCTCTGTCTCTTTATCTCTGCCTTTCAATGTAATAGATGAATTCTAAAAATTAAAAAAAGTGAGTTTTCCTTACTATTCTTTTTGCTGTTTTTATCCTTTTGGCTCTTCAGTCATACCTGTGACAATGATATAGTTGTAAAAGAGAAGGAAAAATTGTGTGTGTGTGTGTGTGTACCAATGTGCACATGTGTGTCTGGAAGGAGTAAACACTAAAGCAGGGCACAGACGTTCAATCTTTTCTTGGCATCCCTGAGAGACCCAATTCTCAGCCCCTCTCTAGTCTGTGAGCTGCTCAGGTTAAAAGGAGAATTTTGATCTTTCACTAATGGGAGGCTGGGTTTCCATTTCAGACTCCAGGCTGCCTTTGCCGTGGCCCATTTTGATGATTATTGCGGTATTGCTTCTCGCTGTGGCTGTAGTCCTGAGGAGGAGGAAGGACCATGAGAATGGTAAGTAGGAAAACAAGCAGTGCATAGCACAATTGGCTTCTCTTTTCAGCAGGCACCTGTAAGAGGCCCTGGTTTAGGAGACATAGAAGTCTATGTAATCAAGGGTCTGTGCTGAATGAGATTGGAATTTGCAGTGATAATGGAAGCTCAAAGCCTAACTGGCTGTAACTTGTTTTCCTACTGTCCTTTCCCCAGTGATCTGGAAAGGGAGAGGAAAATATTGGGAGCAAACCATCCTTGTCTTCAAAACCACCACCTCATACCTCACTGGGATTCTGTTGGCATATTTTCATTTCATTAATACCTTTACATATGTGGCAACCCACGTATTAGAGATTCCTGCTCGAATACAGCTAGAGAAATTGACTCCTGTGCTCTAGAAAATTATTTTGCTTTAATTTTGTTTTGTTGCTAAGACTTGTTTGCCTATTAATAGTGTAAAATCAATGCTTGTTTTTACTGAGTCATGATTGCAGTAGATTTTCTTTTTTATAGTGAATTTGATACAAGAGCCAAATAGAACAAGCTTGCAATGGATTGATTCTGAGAAAACCAAGGATGCAGCCCATGGATGTTCAAATAGTCAATACTCAACAGAGGGCCACCTATATGCTTCCTGCACAGGACCACAAGGAGGCGGAGTGTTGAAAGAAGAGACAAAGTGTCCTGAGTGTGGGAGAAGTACTAGGAGGTCAATACTGGGGGACAGTGAGGTTAAACGATAGCTTGAAATGCTGATATCTCATAGGGGATTGCTGGTTCGAGTCCTGGCTGTTCCACTGCCACTTCAGTCCAGCTCCCTGCTGATGCACCTGGAAAGGCAGAAGATGATGACCTATGTGTTTGATCCCTGCCCACTATCCATTCCACACTGGTGCCAGCGGTTACCACTCTCTTTCTAGCCATGCCTGCCCCTGGTTCTTATGCTCGCCAGTGGGAATGGAAATATAAGGAGATGCCCACTGTTTTCCTAAATGGGCTTACTCCCATATTGGGATCTTTCACTCTCCAGGTGGTTCTGCAGTAGTTTGACAGAATTTTTCCCCAGTGCCAGCTTCTGTCAGCTGATGCTGTGGCAAAGCCCCACCCACCCACACCCATTCTGGCTTATGCATGTACCAGTAGGTATAGTTGACCCAGCCTGGCTTTCCTGCAATCCAGCTCACATGTAGGCCAACAGGTACTGTAGCTCTGTCTGGACTGGACTGCCCCTGATCCCAGCTCTCATACTCATCAGTAAGAGCAGTGGTCCACAGGGAAGCCCCACAATCCTTCTGTTGGATTTGCACCCTTCCCCCTCCCCCCAGGTCTTACCTGTGTTGGTTGGGTGCTGTGGTGCAGTCTGGCCTGGTTCACCTCACCTCGGCATTTGCTAGTGGGTGTTGTAGCCTGGTCGTGCCTGGCCCATTCCCAGTTCCAGCTCATGCTGATTGGACCTACAGCCTAGCCCAGTCTGGCCCAATCTAACTCAGCCTAGCCCAGTCTGGCCTGCCCCCAGTCCCAGCCCTAATGTGAACTGGCTGGTATTATGGCCTGACTTGGTATGACTCACCCACTAGTCCAGTTCTCAAATTTGCTAATGGGTGATATGTAATGGCCAACCTGGCTTGTCCTAGATCTGAGCCAAATGTATGCTGGTGGGTATTGTTACCTTGTCTAGTCTTGGCTGCTCCCTGTCTTTTTTTATGCTCACTTGGAGGGACTGTGTCCTGACAGAGGTTTGCCAAGCTCCTCCATCAGAACCTCTCCCAATGCAAATCTTGCGCATACTGGTGGGTCCATGGACCAGACCTACTTAGTTCACCTCTTGTCCTAGCAGGAACAGTGGCCTTTCTTGACCACAAGTAACCCTTCCAGTTCTTACTTTTGGGTGCCACAGCCAAGCCAAGCCTGGCCTACATCCAGATACAGTTCACACATGGCTCAGAAGGGGCAGACACTTAGCCTAGACCATCTTACACTCATCCTGGTTCTCATTAACACCAGTGGGTGGCTGGGGTCTAGCCCAGTATGGCACACCCCAGACCCAGTCCACATCCATGCCGAGGGTCACTGCAGCCAAGTCCAGACCAGATTACAGCTCCCACTCTGCCCCTTGTACTCACCAGTGGGACTTACAACCCAGAAGGGCATCCCCTTAGCTTTCCAACCAGGCCTATTCCCAGCCACAGATTTTGCATGTGCCAGTTTTCACTCTGATTCAGCTTGGCATAGCTCCTTATGTGTATTGGCCTTTGCCTTTGGATGTTGCAACTGGCCCCAGTCCCAACTCTCACTGGCATGAGCTGTAACCTGGCCCTAATCAGTCTACTCTCATCCCTGGCTCATGCAAACTAACAGGTGTGGTAGCCTAGCCTGGCATGACCTCCATTCCAGTCTGGTTTCTGCACTTGCCAGTGGGGTCATGTTTGTTCAACCCTGCTTGGTTCACCCCCTTCCAAAGCCAACCCACACACTAGCCAATGTATGGAGCTACCTTTCCCTGCCTGCCCAATACTTAGACCTGAACCATGTGCTCACCAGTGGGAGCTATGACTCAGTAGGGGAATTTCTCAAGTTCCCTTACTTGGCCTATCACTATGGAAGTCAGTACGAAGAGTGCTAAGAGAACTGAAAATAAGCCTACTGTATGACCCTGCTATCCTACTGCTTGGAATATATACAAAGGAAAAGAGATATGAAAATTAAAAAAATGGATCTGTAATCCTATATTCACAGCAGCACAGCCTACAATAGCAAAGATGTGGAGACAATCCAGATGCCCATCCAAAGAGAAATGGATTAAGAAACTGTGGTATATCTACTCCATAGAATACTACTCAGCCATTAAAAAGAATAAAATCTACCATTTGCAACCAAATAGTCCTGAATAGAGACCATCATACTCAGTGAAATATGCCAATCCTAAAAGGACAAAAGCCACATGTTCTGCTTGATACAAGGCAATTTTCATACACTATTCAGGATCAATACTTTCGATACTGTTTATGCTGCAACTCACTGTTTTTGATTTTTTTTTTATTTTCCTTTCTTCAAAATAGTTTCTTTTCTATTATTAAATTCTTCAATGGTTCATAAGTTATATAGGAGCATTGTTTTCTCCAGGAAGGTGTTTTGTTTTCTTTTCCATATCTTCATTGATGCATTGGTCATTCAGTAGCATGTTATTTAACTTTATTCCTGTTGTTGATTTTGTTGTATGGCTATTCATTTAAGGAAATGTGTAGTAACTGTGTAATAGGGCATATTATATCCAGATGTGAAGATACAATAAAGCATGCATCTCTACATCCAAACCAAAGATGGACACCCAGTAAAAATGTTAAATATATCTTGACAATCAGATGCTGAAATGACTGCCATTACCCACACCTACAATGCCAGGATACACTTGGCAGAACGATGGACTTACGACTTCTTATTATGGGAAGGAAATATGAGGGAAATCAGTGGGGAGGGGGGAGAAGTTTGTGGAGGGGGCAAGGAAAATCTTAGAGTCTAAGGAATTGTATCATAAAATAAAAAAAAATTAAAGAAAAGGAAATGAGTACTAAACCATTTATATTCCAAATCTCTGCTTCCTGAAGGTGGTTCATGGATGGTCAGAATTTCCTTGCACAGACCTCAAACATCTCCCCCTGTACAACATGATCAACAGGCACAACACTGGGACCTTCCCTACTGGGGCTCTGTCTCTGGCACCCTGATGAAGGTTCTCCAGACTACTTTCTGCCCCCATGAAAGCCTCCTGGGAATCTGGAAATCAGAACTGTGCTCTGATCCCATTTTTCCTCTCGTCACCGACTGTTTCAAAGGGACTGGCATGCTCATCCAGGTACTAAGAGAGCTTTAACCTCAATTCATTCTCTAAATGTGACTTAAGGCTGATCCTGTGTCCTAGTCTAAACTCCCTGACATCCTACCTATAGATCTCAGTCCAACACCTGATGAGCTTGAAGTTATATAGCCTCTCTGGGTCTCTATTTCCACAT